GTGAGTGAGTGAGTGAGTGAGTGAGTGTGAGAGTGAGTGAGTGAGTGAGTGAGTGAGTGTGAGTGAGTGAGTGAGTGTGTGAGTAAGTGAGTGTGAGTGAGTGAGTGAGTGAGTGAGTGTGTGAGTGTGTGAGTAAGTGAGTGTGAGTGAGTGAGTGAGTGAGTGAGTGTGTGAGTGAGTGAGTGTGAGTGAGTGAGTGAGTGTGTGAGTGTGTGAGTGAGTGAGTGAGTGTGTGAGTAAGTGAGTGTGAGTGAGTGAGTAAGTGAGTGTGAGAGTGAGTGAGTGTGTGAGTGAGTGTGTGAGTGAGTGAGTGTGAGTGAGTGAGTGAGTGAGTGTGAGTGTGTGAGTGAGTGAGTGAGTGTGTGAGTAAGTGAGTGTGAGTGAGTGAGTGAGTGTGTGTGAGAGTGAGTGAGTGTGTGAGTGAGTGTGTGAGTGAGTGAGTGTGTGTGAGAGTGAGTGAGTGAGTGAGTGTGTGAGTGTGTGAGTGAGTGAGTGAGTGAGTGAGTGAGAGTGAGTGTGTGTGAGTGTGAGTGAGTGAGTGAGTGAGAGAGTGAGTGAGTGTGTGAGTGAGTGTGTGTGTGAGTGTGTGAGTGAGTGAGTGAGTGAGTGAGTGAGTGAGTGAGAGTGAGTGAGTGAGTGTGTGTGTGAGTGTGTGTGAGTGTGAGTGAGTGAGTGAGTGAGTGTGTGAGTGAGTGAGTGAGTGTGTGTGAGTGTGAGTGAGTGAGTGAGTGTGTGTGAGTGAGTGAGTGTGTGTGAGTGAGTGAGTGTGTGTGTGAGTGAGTGTGAGTGAGTGAGTGAGTGTGTGAGTGAGTGAGTGTGTGTGTGTGAGTGAGTGTGAGTGAGTGTGTGAGTGAGTGAGTGAGTGTGAGTGTGTGTGTGAGTGAGTGTGTGTATGAGTGAGTGTGAGTGAGTGAGTGAGTGTGTGAGTGAGTGAGTGAGTGTGTGAGTGAGTGAGTGAGTGTGTGAGTGAGTGTGTGTGTGTGAGTGTGTGTGTGAGTGAGTGTGAGTGAGTGTGTGAGTGAGTGTGAGTGTGTGTGTGAGTGAGTGTGTGTATGAGTGAGTGAGTGAGTGTGTGAGTGAGTGAGTGAGTGTGTGAGTGAGTGAGTGAGTGTGTGAGTGAGTGTGTGTGTGTGAGTGTGTGTGTGAGTGAGTGTGTGTATGAGTGAGTGTGAGTGAGTGAGTGAGTGAGTGAGTGAGTGAGTGAGTGAGTGAGTGAGTGAGTGAGTGTGTGTGTGTGTGTGTGTGTGAGTGTGTGTGACCTCCATGCGAGTCTGTATCCAGGGTCCGATGGCATTGGCTTGGGCCGCAAACTGTCGTCTGAATCTCTCGTTCACATTCTGTCGTGACATTTCCTCCTGAAGAGAGTTTCCTCTCTGAGGAACCAACCTCTTCACCTGCACACACACACACACACAGATACACATACATATATATATATATATATATATATATATATATTAGGGGTGTGACGAGACGCTTATCTCACGAGACGAGACTAGACACGAGATTGGGTTCACGAGAACGAGACGAGACGAGATTTTTGCACAATTTTTCAGAAATCCTCAATGACAAAATTCATGGCTGGAAAAATAGTATGCAGGTGCATTTTTCAATGTTTTAACTAATAATCTTCTAATGCATGTCATTTCAGGTCTACTTTATGAGTATGAATTATCAAATGCATTGAAAGAAAACAATATTCAAGCACTGTAAAAGGTTTTTATTGACTGGCTTTTCTCCTGTATAATTTCACATTAGTCTCTTCAGACCTTACTGTACATTTAAGAGCTTTCAGAACTTCTGATTGAGGCTGTGTGTGACCTCCTAACTGAACTCCTTTTAACACACATTTAACAGAGAAATAAAAACCGTATAAATAACAAAAATAAATAACTGTTTTCTCTTAGTCTTATTAAGTGCAAACAATAAGTGCGAGTGCAACCATAATCAAAGTTAGCACACAGACTCTTTATAATTGTTGTGAAATTGCGGTTTTATTTTGCACCGGCAGTTATAGGGTTAATGCAGTGAGTTGGGAAAAGGCCGAGAGAAACGAGGCTGTTTGTCTCTACAGTTGTTCTTGCGTTCCGATTATAAGTTCAGAAACGGAGCCTCCCTTGTCTGTTGTCCTTTGTACGTTACAGTGCTCTCTCAATATTCACAGTGCAAACTGAGACCATAGCCGCAAATAAACAGTCCAGAGATGGGTATTGGGAGACAGACTATTGTATGTATATGCAGCCTAATTTGTGCGCAATGCACATCAGGGAGCTTGTGTTTTACTTTCACTTACAAATTCGTGACCGCGCGTATAGGGAGCAGCGGTGCTGAGCGCGCATTCTAAATGATAAGACATTTACCAGACGTTTAGTCTGTTGCGCAACGAATCCTCCGCCATCGTCACGCGATCAGTGAACTGTGATTCGTGCCGCACTGATTGCAACGGCAACTCGCGCTGGATGAGCAGAGCAGACTTTTGCATTAGTTTATAATGGTTTTTATTTTTTTATAAAAACAACAAAACGATAGTTTAGGCGAATGTGAGTGTAGCGGTGGAATATTAATGGGGATATCGCGAGACAGCTTTTTCACTCGACGAGAAATCTCGTCATATTTAGTCTCGCGAGATCTCGTGGCACGAGATCTCGTCACACCCCTAATATATATATATAGTATGTATATATAGTGCAGTTCACTGTGGACACACACACACACACACCTTCTCCCAGGACTGGTTGATGTGTGCCGGAGTGATGTCGCTGTAGATGTTGGTGAGTTGGCTGGAGATCCCGTAACTCTGCGTGATCTTCTGCACTTCACTGTAGATGCTGAGGATGGCCTGGCGCTCGCTGTCGGCCTCGGGGAGCGTCGTCTTGAACACATCATGAGCCGACAACAGATTCTGCAGAGAGAGAGAGAGAGAGAGAGAGAGAGAGAGAGAGAGACAGAGAGAGAGAGACTACAATCAGAGATCTCACTTAAAAACTATCATGTATTAACAGAGTAAAGAGAGTGTGTTTTGCCTGACCTGAACCTCGTCGAGCGAGTGCACCATGAACATGTCCTGCAGATCCTCCATCGCTCCTTCCATCCAGTTATTAAACGGAGCCGCTCTCTTAGCAAACTCCAGAAACAGCTGATCAATCGTGTCCAGGAGCTTCTCTGTCCTCTGATAAACACACACACATGCGTGCACACACACACGCACACACACACACACACGTGTATATTTCATTACAAGGCCAACATCGGATGGGACATCGCTTTACAATAATAAGTTGTATTTTGATTTCAAAAGTTTGAAATCATTAACGTTTTAAAATCTCTTCTTCTCACCAATACTGCATTAATTTAATCAAAAATACAGTAAAAATAGTGAAATATTATTGTAATGTAAAACAGCTGTTTTCTATGTGAATATTTAGAAAACTTTTCAGCATCATTACTCCAGTCTTCAGTGTCACATGATCCTTCAGAAATCACTCTAATATGATGATCTGATGCTCAAGAAACATTTATGATTATTATCAGTGTTGTTTTGCGTCATATTGTAATATTTCACAATATTACCATTTTTACTGTATTTTTGATCAAATAAATGCAGCCTTGGTCAGCAATAAGGTCACATTAAAAACATTTAAAAAACATTAAAAAACTAAATTATTTCAAACTTTTGACCTGTAGTGTATTTTACATTTACAGTGTAAATATATGTGAATATTTGATTACATATATAGTACGTACAGTGATCGAACCACATGTACCCTAAACCCCCTATAAACTCTAAAAACTCCCGGTTAGGTGATATAACTGATGTTGGTGTGTGTGTGTGTGTGTGTGTGTGTGAGAATCACCTCCAGAGCTTCTCTGCGTTTCTGAGTCAAAGTTCCCAGCTGATCCCACTGATCACAGATCATCTGACAGCGTTCATTAATGACACCAGCAGCGTGATAGTCCAGTTCACTGCGGACACACACACACACACACACACTCTTTATACAGAAAGAATGACGCTTCTCTGCTAAATGTAACCGTTGAGGCCTTCTCACGGTGGAGCAGATTTCTAATTTTTTCATTAAAAAGATTTTTTTTTACAAACAACCACAAACAGATGATCATAACACAGACAAAACTATTACATAAAACATATTTAATGTCGTATGCATTCAGTGGCAGTTTCGCTGCAGTGCATCATGTTTCCACTGGAGCGCAGCATCAGCTCAGACTCGAGGCCAGTGAAGAACTGATGCAGAAAGCTCTTTATAATCTATTATATTTTACACATTTTTACCCGTATATATTTTGTATGTTGTCGTTAATGTTAATAATCCTGCAAATATGTTACTTAAAAATTCTCTCTTCAGAGTTTGAGCACGAGATGCACATGCACAATTGCCCTGTATTTATTTATAAAGCTCTGAATGGTTTAGCTCCAGTCTATTTAACGGATCTTCTATCGCCCTATAATCCATCGCGCTCTTTAAAATCACTAAATTCGAGGCTTCTGGTCATTCCTAGGATATCCAGATCCACCAAAGGAGGGAGAGCATTTTCACATTTAGCTCCGAAGCTCTGGAATAGCCTTCCTGATATTCTTCGTTGCTCAGACTCGTTCTCCCAGTTTAAAACTAGACTAAAGACGCATCTATTTAGCCAGGCACTCATATAAAATTTAATCTTACAGTTACTGTAAATTCGGCCTCTACTTCATAAACGCCAGAGGAGAACTGGCCCCGACTGAGCCTGGGTTCTCCCAAGGTTTTTTTTTTCTCCATTGGGTTTCTCCATTTTCTCCCAGTTTTAGGACACCATCGGGTCATCTGATGGAGTTTTAGGACACCATTGGGTCATCTGATGGAGTTTTAGGACACCATCGGGTCACTTGATGGAGTTTTAGGACACCATCGGGTCATCTGATGGAGTTTTAGGACACCATTGGGTCATCTGATGGAGTTTTAGGACACCATCGGGTCACTTGATGGAGTTTTAGGACACCATTGGGTCATCTGATGGAGTTTTAGGACACCATCGGGTCACTTGATGGAGTTTTAGGACACCATCGGGTCATCTGATGGAGTTTTAGGACACCATTGGGTCATCTGATGGAGTTTTAGGACACCATCGGGTCACTTGATGGAGTTTTAGGACACCATCGGGTCATCTGATGGAGTTTTAGGACACCATTGGGTCATCTGATGGAGTTTTAGGACACCATTGGGTCATCTGATGGAGTTTTAGGACACCATCGGGTCATCTGATGGAGTTTTAGGACACCATCGGGTCATCTGATGGAGTTTTAGGACACCATCGGGTCATCTGATGGAGTTTTAGGACACCATTGGGTCATCTGATGGAGTTTTAGGACACCATCGGGTCATCTGATGGAGTTTTAGGACACCATCGGGTCATCTGATGGAGTTTTAGGACACCATTGGGTCATCTGATGGAGTTTTAGGACACCATCGGGTCATCTGATGGAGTTTTAGGACACCATTGGGTCATCTGATGGAGTTTTAGGACACCATCGGGTCATCTAATGGAGTTTTAGGACACCATTGGGTCATCTGATGGAGTTTTAGGACACCATCGGGTCATCTGATGGAGTTTTAGGACACCATCGGGTCATTTGATGGAGTTTTAGGACACCATTGGGTCATCTGATGGAGTTTTAGGACACCATCGGGTCATTTGATGGAGTTTTAGGACACCATCGTGGAGTTTTAGGACACCATTGGGTCATCTGATGGAGTTTTAGGACACCATCGGGTCATCTGATGGAGTTTTAGGACACCATCGGGTCATCTGATGGAGTTTTAGGACACCATCGGGTCATCTGATGGAGTTTTAGGACACCATCGGGTCATCTGATGGAGTTTTAGGACACCATCGGGTCATCTGATGGAGTTTTAGGACACCATTGGGTCATCTGATGGAGTTTTAGGACACCATCGGGTCATCTGATGGAGTTTTAGGACACCATTGGGTCATCTGATGGAGTTTTAGGACACCATTGGGTCATCTGATGGAGTTTTAGGACACCATCGGGTCATCTGATGGAGTTTTAGGACACCATCGGGTCATCTGATGGAGTTTTAGGACACCATTGGGTCATCTGATGGAGTTTTAGGACACCATCGGGTCATCTGATGGAGTTTTAGGACACCATCGGGTCATCTGATGGAGTTTTAGGACACCATCGGGTCATCTGATGGAGTTTTAGGACACCATCGGGTCATCTGATGGAGTTTTAGGACACCATCGGGTCATTTGATGGAGTTTTAGGACACCATTGGGTCATCTGATGGAGTTTTAGGACACCATCGGGTCATCTGATGGAGTTTTAGGACACCATTGGGTCATCTGATGGAGTTTTAGGACACCATCGGGTCATCTGATGGAGTTTTAGGACACCATTGGGTCATCTGATGGAGTTTTAGGACACCATCGGGTCATCTGATGGAGTTTTAGGACACCATTGGGTCATTTGATGGAGTTTTAGGACACCATTGGGTCATCTGATGGAGTTTTAGGACACCATCGGGTCATCTGATGGAGTTTTAGGACACCATCGGGTCATCTGATGGAGTTTTAGGACACCATTGGGTCATCTGATGGAGTTTTAGGACACCATCGGGTCATCTGATGGAGTTTTAGGACACCATTGGGTCATCTGATGGAGTTTTAGGACACCATCGGGTCACTTGATGGAGTTTTAGGACACCATCGGGTCATCTGATGGAGTTTTAGGACACCATTGGGTCATCTGATGGAGTTTTAGGACACCATCGGGTCACTTGATGGAGTTTTAGGACACCATTGGGTCATCTGATGGAGTTTTAGGACACCATCGGGTCACTTGATGGAGTTTTAGGACACCATCGGGTCATCTGATGGAGTTTTAGGACACCATTGGGTCATCTGATGGAGTTTTAGGACACCATCGGGTCACTTGATGGAGTTTTAGGACACCATTGGGTCATCTGATGGAGTTTTAGGACACCATTGGGTCATCTGATGGAGTTTTAGGACACCATTGGGTCATCTGATGGAGTTTTAGGACACCATCGGGTCATCTGATGGAGTTTTAGGACACCATTGGGTCATCTGATGGAGTTTTAGGACACCATTGGGTCACTTGATGGAGTTTTTCGGTCCCTTGCCACTGTTGCCTTTGGCTTGCTCAGTTGGGGATATTCAAATTAAATGACCCATCATACCACTGATCAGCTCTACCAAACTTGGATGTCTTTTCCAGTAATAAACAAACACTGTTAAGTTGTTTTGATTGATACTGTGAAGCAGCTTTGATACAATCTGTATTGTGAAAAGCGCTATATAAATATATTTGACTTGACTTATTTGAATAATATAAAATGTAATATGTATTATATTAAATATAATATGAAATATATATACATTCAATAATAATAAAGATCAATAGTAATCAGGTTAAATACTCTAACAGAACAAAAGAATTTAAAGATTACATTTTAGGATGTT